AAGATAAAAGTAGAGAACTCCAGTGATGAAACAGAACAGAGGAATGCTCCTGTATTCTCTACTCTATCTCACTGCACATTTAACTTTCATTACAAGTAACTCAGAAACAAGACAACATGATTGTGATTAATCATTATTCAAGACATTCTTTTGTTAATAATTACATTTTTTTGCTAAGTGGGAAATAACTACTTAAGTGTGCTATAAATGCCTAACTGTGGCATTATGAATTTTAAAGAATGGGTGGTCCCTTTGATCTTTTAACTAGGAATACTATAAAGACATATACTGTATAGGGTATAATGTTCGTGGGATGTAAATTTCGCAAAAATGAGTCAAAAAGACATTTGTGGTGTTTATTTTCGTGAATCCTTTGCAACAGACCAATAAATAATTGATTATTAACTAATTTCATGGTTTTATATTTTGCAAATTTACTTTATCTGTGAAATTTGCATCCCACAAACATTATGCTCTATACGGTATATATGGTCTGTCTAAATGATATCAGATTGCAATTTTTAAAACTTTCCAAAAAGGTAGGAATTCATGCAATATTGTTCTTGTAATTTCTAGCCATATGGTACATACATGTAGTACATACCTTGTGTAAGTGGATTTTGAGCGTCTGGTATTCTGTCAGCAGCTGGAGTGTCTTCAGTACTAATAGGGTTAGCAGTAGGTGGTACAATATACCCTGCAATAATGAAAGTAAAAATATGTAAATTTATATTGAATCATATATACCAAAGGAAGTGACAGGTTTATCAGAAGTAGGTTGTCTATAGCTACCAAAGGAGTAACATTGCAATGCATAAGGATGAACATTACAATGGTTTTGGTATATTTAAATCTTAAGATAACACCATGCATTAGCTTAGCCTATAAGTTGCAAAGTTAACCTATATAAATCTTTGCAAGGAAAAACCTTGCGAACCTTGTAGTGATTTGTGGGTGTGTACATGTACATGTATGAATAGCAGAGAGTGCATGAATATTTATATGGTGAAAGATTTATTGCTATCCATAAACTCAGTGCTAACTACAAAACAAGGTGGATTGATTGAAGTGATGCAGCTGTATCAACAAAGAACATCAAAGTGATTCAAAAACTGTGCCAGTGTGAAAAGGCCTTAGTATACCATATAGGGGTTTTATTTTGTAAGACGCCATTTAGCATTTTGTTTGCTATGACCTAATCCCTGTATGTGAAGAACAGAAGGAAGCTGTCCTGTCTTGTTATAGCCATAATGCTAAAAGTACACTTAATGGCTTGAGTGAAGTTAAAGAATATGCACAGTGTGTAAAAAAGGCACGCAAGGTAGAGTAACCATTTGAAGTGAAGCTGTCATTAATAACTATAATTTATTTTCTGCCATTAATAATTGTTTTTGGCATTTCGATAATTTAATTGAAAGGTCAGTCTTCCTAACTGTAGGTTGCTGTTACAAACTAAAATTTAAAGCAACAATGATAATGTGAGTTAAGCCAGGCATACACTAGGTAGCATGTAC